AAAATTATAATTGATTATGAAAAAGACCTTGCTTTTTTCTATATTTCTCATTAAATAAAAATCTGTGAAAATTTCTTGTAATTTACTTTAAGTTTTTATCAATAGATTGTTTTTATTGTTATCCAATATAAATTGATTTTCAATTAATGTTCTATTATTATAATTTATTGTCATATATAACATAAATGTCCACAACGGTAGGATAGAAAAAGGTCTTTTTACTTTGAAAATTCAAAACACTAAATTTTTTTTTTTGTAAGAAAAGTTTTTATTAGGTTCGACGACGTAAAAAACTCAAAAATTGACAGAAATATCGGTATCAGATAGTGACTAGAGCTATCTTGTTACATATACATAGGGTGTCCCAAAAGTAAGGAAACAGAAAAAAAATTGAATATCTCCATTATGGCTCGAGCAAACGAGCTGATTTTATTACCAACGATAGAGGGATGTTCAAGCTTTATATTGATAAAGACATCCCTGGGGAGATCCTTTGTTAAGTATTATATTGTTTTTTTCCTATCTGTGAAAAAGTAAAATTTTTTTGTTAAGATCACTAGGTGATACTTAACAAAGGGTCTCTCTAGGTATGTCTTTATGGATATAAAGCTTGAACATGCCTCTATCATTGACAAAAAATCAGCTCGTTTGCTCTAGCCGTAATGGAGATATTCCTTTCTTTTCTGTTCTCTTACTTTTGGGACATCCTGTATACTTCTGTGCAAACTCAAACCTTCGAGGACGATCTCTATGCAGAATATGATCAATTTGTCATGGCTATCGAGTAAAGAAATTAACATTTCTAGATGCTGCTTAAATGGCCTTCATACATGAACAACTAAAATAACTATCCTGAGTCTCCAGCACTTGCCAGCAAAATGACCATAATTCATGTAATCACTCAAATCAATCCTTGAAACTTTTCACATCTTGTAATTTCAATTTGATTTGCTTTTATAAATAATTACAAATCTCTATCAGCACTAAAAGAACAGTCAAAGACCGGGGACATAGGTAAGAATGTCACGTAACGTTAAGAATTAGCTATTTTAAAAAATTAAGTTATTTCCAGGGCACATACCGTTGGATTCAGATAAGCATTATTTAAAGCAATTCAAAGCGATACGTCAATTAAACTGTATCTTATGGAATTAATCACATATTCTATCATATGCCGAAATTCTAAAGCAAATAATATAACATCATATTTACTACAGATAAATGTCACACATGTAAACAACGATAACCATTCCGTTGTGACTCATTGTTTTCGTTGATTTAGTACCATTACCACCTGATTTGGCTACTAATTCATTCAATTCCGTCCAATATTATGAGATAAAAGGTTTATTGGAAATCTGTTAGCATAAATTCTACAATTAAAGTGTCATAACTTATCTGATTGTTATGCAAATCACGAGGAATAGTCTAGTTTACTTAACGAGAATAAATATTCGCGTAAGAAAGGATTTCACAAAGTCCATAACAAGTAATGTTTATAACACATTCATTTTCTATTTATTTTTATTTGTAATTCTCCACTTCAGTTGGTTTAATCTATTTTATATCCGTTCATATAAAATCTTACTATCCCATCAAATTTTGTATCATTTTATCTACAATTGTAACGGAGAACGTCATATGTGGATCAACTTATACGTTTGTGTACGATCATACGGCAGGTTTTTTGCCCTACGGTAAATAGATAGGATATAAGATATTTGTACTTAAAAAATAAGCAATATCATTACAGAGCATGAAAACAGCATATTTTATACCAACTCAAACATTAAAAGATAAAAAATGATGATGATGGAAATACGTATTATTCAACCTTATGATTTCATTGGTTTTATGGTGCTTATTCTGATATTTAACTAGTCATCATCAGTTGTTGACTGTCTTCTATACATTTTCGGCATTTTTCAAAAACTCTATATGCATGTTTCTATATCTGAGGGAAATACCGATTCATGATCAATGGAATCCTAATAAAGATACGAAATACATTGCCGAATTTAAATTCCGCATTTTTTTAATTAAATTAACAATAAAATGCGTAATAGTATATCGATTCATTCGATTTGTGAGAAAAAAGAATTGGGAATAGCAAATAAATTTGTGCCTTGTACTTACGTAAATCAGTCTGTTTTTTTTGTTGAATTGTCCGATTATAAGCAGCAGTAGAATTTAAAACCGATCCAATAGTATGCACCATCACTAGACTTGTCGGTTACTATGGTCATCATGCGCGGTAGATAGTCAGCACTAATGAAGCAAAACGGTGCGTCTCCAGTCCAAAGACATTTGCGACCCGACAGTTCTAAATAAACTCGGTATTTTGTTCCTGAATGGGTTATTTCATAACTGTTTATTTTCGTATTGGTACATAAGATATCATGGCATATCGTCATTACCAGTACCAATAGAAGCCAGAGCTTTTGATGAGTTAGCATTGCTCGTTTCTGAAATCACCTAAACATATATACAAAAGAAAGAAGGTTTGCCAAATTACTATCTTGACGTCTTGAAAAGTCTTAACCACATTTTATTATCTTGATAATCAGTATTCATCCCTGATTATTTTTCACAGGTTTATTTCATATTTCATCATTATTTAGTTTTTCACCCCTGGGATTTCCTTCAAGTATCGAAAATAATTTATTATCGCCGTTCTATCAACAATCTTTATAGTTCGATAGAGTTAGACGTGCTGATTATAAATATCACCTTGTTTTTTAAAAATCATCGGATAATAACAAAAATCTGGAGCACTTTCTGGAAGCCATAAAAACAAGTTTCTGACCTATATGTCTATGAATATTCGATGTCGATTCGTCTCAAATAGACTCATTCGACGCAGAATTTTTTCTCTATCGGAATCTATAAGAACCTTTCCGATATTCAAATTTTCTTCTATTGATAAATGTCGAATACCGGTCCGATGAGGTATTAATGGTGATAGATAGTGTTCCTTTTAATTTTATGAAGTTATACTTTATGTGAGTGTACCAGCTTGATTTTTTCAGTGGATGCATAATTTCGTATGCTCTTTCTAATGAGAGTATTTTCAGGTTGAAATCTGATGGCTAATAAAGTATTGTTGCTCTAAAACTGCTCTGTAACCTCATTTTCCGTAGTTTTTGACCGATATGCGATGGTTTTTGAAAAGAATGATCCCTGCTTCACTTCAAACAAATATTTTCGATACCTGAAGGGGATCCCAGGGGTGACAAACTGATTAATGATGAAATATGAAATAAACCTGTGAAAAATAATCAGAGATGAATACTGATTATCAAAATAATAAAATGTGGTTAAGACTTTTCAGAACGTCAAGGTAGTAATTTGGCACACCCTCTTTCAATTAGATAGGTTGTATCCCACTTTTTTCGGTCGAATCTCTGAGAAACACTGAAAAAAACGTAAGGTAAGCAACGCCTTTTAAATGTCGACTAACGTCATATATTATTTGACACTTTTATCACAGACACAAGAAAAAAAACCTTTCATTGATTTCCATGTGCTTTAATCTTTACGTACAATAGTGGGCAAATTATTGTTTCTATAACAAATTCAAAAAAATTAAGAAAAAGCTGATGAGAGAACTATCCCATCTGATTAAGCGTTTTTGACTTTATCATTTTGCCATAAGTAGATGTCAAAATAGCTAATTATGTTTTTTAATCTGTCCGAATTTCAAATCTTTTGCTAAAGTTGATTATAAATCGGCGAAGCTTCAATAGTGAAGATCGAAGTCTTCGAATATTTCTTTTATTTACCAAAACAGGAATGACAAACCTTCGAACGGCACATGAAACAAAAAGCAAGAATATCATTCATGATAACCGTAGTCTCTACAGAAGTGATAGAAACATAACATTTCGAACATAATAAACTTTAGAAAAAAACAGGAGTTGAACATTCATTCTCTTTACACAATGATTTAGAGTTTTTATCAATCCTCTTCGCGTACCTAAAACTTCGATATTCTGTGTTTCAGGTAAGGCATTCATTCTAAACTATTAAAGCAAATAACATACATTAGTGTGATCAGGTCTCTGTTTGATACAAAGCCTATCTTGTGGCTAGAACAAAGAATCACAAGCACGAACAGTTTTAGGATCTACAAATATGAGAAGAAAAATTGATTAGCTCCATATTAATGCAAACAATTTTGGAAAAGTTAAATCTTGAAAATATTTTTTCAATAATAGTAGAACAAAACCTTTTAATAATTTCTAATGAATAACAAGATAAGACCTTAGAAGTATTGTTGATAGTATCAAAAACAATATCATTTGTAGTTTGTTTAATTGATTTTATAATTAATAGAATGAAGTAGATATTCTCATTGAATAGGATATTAATTGTAAGTTTTCATAGAAGTTGTACTCTCACCCTTAAGAAATGTGTTGTTTTCTTATTATAATGATTTGATTTAATTTTAATTTCGAAACTATCATTTTTTTTTATTGAAAGAATTTCGAACAAAAAATATTTATAATAAAGGAAAACACTCATGAAAAGTTTCTGGCCAAGTAAATGGTTCATTTATATGAAGTTTTTTTACTTGAATACAATTGAAACATGTTGGATCAGTAATAAAATTGTTTGTTAACATTCTAAGTGATTTGAATGTGATGCAGAGATCTAACAAACAAGGTAAATGAGCATTTTCTTTCAAAAGAAATTGTTTAGCATAATGATCATATGATTCAGCCAAATTGAGAAAAATAAGATGAGGAAATATAATTAATGTCGACGAATTTTTCTTGTCTTTTTGTAGTATACCATTATATATAGTTAATTCTTCGACAATAGGAAAATAATGAGAGACGAGTATGAAAAACTGATGTTCGAAAGGACTTCCAATATCATTCATTGTTAAACGTCGAACTTTATCAAATATGGCATCTTGAAAATGATAAGAATTGTTGAGACGAAAAAAAATGTTCGAATTGATATGGAAGTGAATAAATATGACAATGGCCCTTACATTAGGTCATGCTCTTCAATGATTCAGTACAGACATATGAACCAACTTGACCATATCCTCTTCCAATAAAACTATTTTGAATATCTTCATTAGATGAAAGATGAATTTTAATCCGTTTCATGATAACTCCTGTATGTATACTGAAAGTAAATTTTTTTAATCGTGGCAAATAAATAAGAATATCATTATGTAATTGAATGCCATCAACATAATCTGAATCAATTTGTATAAGGAAGAGAAATAATGTCAATGCTTCAAGATTTCCCATTCGACGAAGTAATCTAATAATATGAATCTCATATATATCTGCATGGTTATTCAAAGTTAATGAGAAGTATTTCAATTTAGGAAGCTGTTTCTACAAAAAAAAAATAACATCAGCAACGTTTTTTTTTTTCGAAAACATATTTATTAATATTATATTTACTCGACAATTTATATATGATGGTATATGTTCAAATGGAACTTTGTTCACATTGATAATCAATTTCGTTAAAGAACCAAGACGACCATCAAGAAAATAAAGACAATCATAAAAAGTTTCAACATTAATTTTCAATTCAGTTAAACTTGAAGACATAGAACTTATTTTTGGTATATAATAAATAGAAATACACGCTCTACGATGAGAAAACATGTGACAAAAATTCAAATGGATTAATCGTTTAGCTAAAGATAAGATCAATATTAATATATTCGATGAAATTTTAGATAATTCAGATGTTGTCTCATTTTGAATATCGATATTCAGATGTGTGATTTGATTAGTAAGAAGATCACGAAGAATTGAATGATCTTTAATGTAAAAAAAGAGAAAAAAGTTGAAATTTGTTGCATTTTTTCTTTGAAAACCTTTTAATAATTACCTTTTAAATATTGAAAAAGTAGTTTTTCTTGAAAATTAACAAGTGATAATGAATAAAGTTGAGGATAACTGGTAGTAAGAATAAGTTCCATTGAATTTTGTTCAATAGTAAGTTTATTTATATGTGAATAAATTTGAGGTAAGATGTTTTCACATATTTTTGAAAGAACTTCATCGTCCATTGAAAATATATAATCAAAAAATGATTTCATTGTTATGATTGTCATATCAATATTATGAACACAAAGTGCATCAAATAGTACTTGAGTAAATCGCTGATCAACATCAATAAGAGAATATACACCACCAATATTCAACTTGCTGGCAATCATGAATAAAATTTCATAAGGCAAATCACTCATACTTAATCGATTGCTATTCAAAATGTTCATTTCGAACTCACACTCTGTTTATGTCAATTTATATATGTATGTGTACATATATAATTATATATATAGGTGTCCGCATTTTTATGTAAACGTCAGCGGGAAATAATCAAGGTTAAACATTGATATCATACGACCAAACCAAAATGAATGACCGATTGTGTTTTTCTTTCTCTCTAATATTTTTTATCATTATGAGTAGTCTATTCGTCAGATTATCCTTCTTTTGTCACAATGCTTATCGAGTAATTTGTTTATTGGTTTCATCACATAATATCATGCTTAACATAAGGAGTCAAACACATTAGAAAAATGAATCATTTTAAATTTCATTTACAGTTAATCAATAGGTGTATACATATAAGAGCTAATGCTCTAATCAAAATTAAGTATATGCTATATAGTGTATTGAAAATAAATGAAAATAATATACTTTTGGACAATAGACAAAATTTATTATCATTTATTTTCTCAAAGCGGCTTTAGAAACTCACAGTTTATAAAAGATTCAAATAATCTAGCAGCTTGTTTTATAATAATTTCCTTTGAAAAATATTCGTCTATATATATATATCATTTTATAATCAAGTTATTGTATAATTTGTACTTTAAGAGTTAAGTTATCTTAAAAAGTTTGACTCTTGAGACAGAGTATGACAATTAGACAAAAAAAAACTTTACTAACAAATTGTTCAATCTATCATTGTTTTTTTTACTAAAAATTAAAATCTACTATTGTTTTTTTAGTTACATTAAAAAAATATAAAATATGAGAAAAAAAGTTTATAACAGCATTTGATTGAATTCAAAAAATATATCGGATCAATGCGTATTAATTTGGACAGCTGAAATTGGAATCATCTTCTTCATATAATTGAGTAATAATTGGTGTTACTATTTCCAGGTTTTTGGATACGGCTTTCCGTATTTTCACCGTAAATTTGCTTCATACGACACCGTCAACGGAC